ACCGTTCGGTGAACTTTCGATTCGCAGGTTTGATATTGCCCCTCCAAACCTCTGTTTAACTAATCTGATTATCTGATAGTTATGTTGGTTTTAATTGACTCTTTTTTTAAGATTTTGACGTGAGTTAGATGACAGGGGCAGTGAACGATTCCGGCCTCAGTAAAACACGAGCTCTGTTGTCTATTACAATAATTTTGCTAGCACTTGCTCAAAACCTTGTCATTTTTCCACCTTGATTACATTTACGTTATTTGTGGACTTCCTACACGAGACATACTTTGGTCGTGAAACGAACTGGGTAGAGCGGGTTTGCTTTGGCCCCAGTAAGCAGTGAATGTAACCAAGCCAAGAAGTTTGGTGGGTGGCTATTTTTTTTTTGAAGATCGTGGAAAATCCCACAGGGCAGGTGGCTATTTTTTTTTTGAAGATCGTGGAAAATCTCCACAGGGCAAAAGATCCGGATACCGATGTTTCTTAGCCAAAAGACAACGTGACTGCTCGTCCTACGCCCAGATAACCTCCTTCAGCGCGGCATGAGGCACCGAATGGCAGGGTATTTTGTAGTTCGAGCACATCCTTCGTATTGGCTACCCATCTTATCGTCTTAATTTGAGTCGTTCTCATGAGTCCGGTTTGATAATTCGGTCTTCAGTACCAACTGGTGAATATCTCCAAGCCATCGTTTGCCTAAAGCGCGACTCGTATTTCTAACCGCAAATACAATTCTCTCCAGACTTAAAAAAAACAACTGTTAGTGCATTTAAACCGAAATCAGAATGTGAACTGACATAAACGAACCTAAGTGAACCGGGAGCCTGCCGTTTTTAGTTTTGTCACCGTCGACGAGATTTGGAAATTCAAGTATTGATTCGATCTTGCAAGTGAATTCATTTGGTAGCAAAAAAAACCGAGATGAATTTCATAACTGTTAAATCAGTACCGCATCATATTAGATGAATTATGTGCATGAAGACCCGTACCCAAACTATAGGTAACAACATTGCTAAGGAGGGCTCGCACATACGAATGGCACAGGGCTCAGATACTGGCCGGAAGATCGCGGGTTCAAATCTCCCCCTAAATATTTTTTGAAATACGCACCGTTGAGGATTCCCAACAAGAGCGAAACAACTGTTCAGAGTTTCTTGGCTTTTCAGTATAGATTTGTTTTACTTGCAAGAAGTTTGAATTGAAGTAACCGAGTGTTTCCTTATATGAATTTCAGCTAGTGGATCGAACCCAAGTAGAGAAATGCATCATGTTCGAGGCATCACAATTTGATTGTCGGATATAGGCAATGAATAGAAGTGAAGAGGCCATTTTATTGTAGTAGGAGGACATGGCAAATTCCTAAGCGGATCAGTTAGAACCACCACACGAACTTCGAAGTGAAAAAATTTTGAAGGAGATTCATATCAGTCGGCACAGGGTGCTTCCCGGTAAACCCACCGAAGACCCTTTATGCGTAAATAGGCTTGGGTGAACCAAGCGTGGAACTTTAAGCCAGCCAGAGATTTGCAAGTAGCTGGAGGTATCAGACTCACTATCTGATCTGACGCATCTCCACACCTGTGCGATCTGTACAATGCGACTTGCGGTGATGACAATGATGCTGACGACCACGTAGCAGTGACCTTATGGTTTCCGTTCGAACCTGACTTCATACTGTTCGTCCGAGAGAGAGAGAGAGAGAGAGAGAGATGGGTACGCGCTACATGCGAGCGGACACAGCTTGTCACACAGGACCGGAAATGATCCGACCAGTCGACCAGTTCACATCCTTTTTACCGCTCGTCGTTTGGTCCAAGGTGTTCTCTGCTAGGCGCGTATTTACATGTGTGCGTGCACGTGTGTCCTAGTGGGTCATAGATTGCTTCGCTCCGTCGTTATGCTCTAAAACGAGTTGAAGCCTCTTCACGTTTATGCGATTGTGTAGTGACACTGTCCAAGCAGCACTTGTATGTGCATGTGTGTACTTATGTGGCCAGGTGGGTGCGGATATACACGGGATAAGTAATGACAAGAGAAAAAACAGTTCAAAAACCAAAATGCTACCAGTTCCTGATTCTTATCTCGCGTGTTTGGTAAAATGTGCCTACCTGCTAGCCGGCCTGCCGTCTGTCATTCTGAAAATTTGTTTTTTGCTGGATGTGAGTGAATTCCGACGAGGCTGCCAGTCATATTTACTTCCGTTCTGGGTTCTTCAGGATGGTGTTGAAGCGTGGTTGTTCAATGACCTCTTTCCGTAGGACTTTATGCTACTTTCGTCTTTCATGTTTCCTACGACATTGTCGGAGTTATCAACTAGGTTAGTACTAAGGGGTGCAATGAGGGCTGATAACGAGCGAAATTCGTAAAATCACCGGGACATTCTACCTCGAACATGAGCCAGGGTTTCTCCGTTCCTTTCTTCTTCAGGATAGACGGATCTTTAGAAGAGGTATGCGTTTCAGATATGCTTATGTAACATCCAGCCTACATAGCTTGGATATAAAGTACTATTGTAAACTAATTCAATATGAAAGCGTTATCTACTTCGAGCTCATTAACCCGTCTTTCCGCCACAAAAACGCTTGACTGAGATGAAATATAGTTTGAGTGTATACTTGCTTGTGAGTAACGAAGTTGGTGGAAAACAGTTTTCCGAAAGAGTTTCTCACCTAGTACCCAGGAATTCGTTAGTGCAACAAAGTTCGACTGACCTACACAATACTGTTCTTCTTGCAATCTCGTTGGAACAGTCATATGGACTGACAGGTGAGTAAGCTCAAACTGAGCAGTAAATCAATAAATGGTTACTAATCAAGGCTTGTGATGCACTGCTAAAAGTGCTTTTTTTGAGTATGTTATCTTCCCATAATGGGGAACCACTATGCTATCCATAAGTTGTCCCAAATGACATCTACAAATTCTTCAGTATAATGTCTGAAGTAGTTCCCTTGTCTAATGCAACCAAACTGAAGCGTTGCAGACTCCTTGGGGAATTTTCACTTGATACTGAAACATGCTTACACTCCTGCTATGGAATTTTAAGGTTCATATCTTATGGAAAACACCGGGATATCTTAGTATAATGTGTCCTCTGGGTCGCAGCTTTGTTGCTGCTCACCGTATGCACAACAGTTAAGCACCATCTAAGTGACAGACACCCCTCGCTGTTATTCCGGGTAAGTGCCATCGTCCAAGCCTACTAGAGTATTGAGCGAGTCAGCACTTAATACCTCTGCGTTTCAAAAATTATCGGCACATATCAGTGCTCCCGTAGGGGTCAGCCTACACCAATCATCTGCTTGCATTCCTTATCCAGATAATAATCCAAACAGAATTCCTAAATGAAATTACTAAGAGTGTCACTGGATGGTGATCGCGACAATGAATCCAAAGACTGAAAGACAGTTATTCGAGGAAAGACGCAAATCCAATGCGAACGACTGGGTTACACATCTCTCTGGTTACCTGATCCCGCCAACAAAGACCCCGAAGATTGAGTACCAATTTCTTGACATGACTGATTAATTTGCTAAACTGCTATGCTGTAAAGACGTGTCCGTTGTATTTCTTACATCTATTCACAAACCCGCTGCATATAATTAAATGACGTAAATAGCCATAAAATCTCGATTTCCACTCTACCTAACTAGATTGTTTGTGGAAAACTACAGCCTCTGGACCAGGTAGTTGGACCTGCACCTACCTAACAGGCTCCGAAAAGGAAGAATCCCGTAATAATTTCTATGCGGCTTTTGTGCAATAATTCCATACTACTTAGATCCCGAAACATTAAAAATCCATTAAAAATCCATTGGATATCTTCACAACAGAATATCGGCATTGTTTCAGGTATGGGCGCACTGACGGGTCTTCACATAGAGTAAATATTAGTGAACAAAAAATGCGGCAGCCTCTTCTCTATTCCGACTTCTAACTACATAAACCGACAGAGTCACATTAGATGAGTAATCATGTTTGAGGCAAACATATAGCCCAGCTCAGGCTATTTAAGTGTGGAAATCTATAGTCTATTAGGGGAATATTGTTGTCAGATACAGTAGGATTTTACGAGATAGGTGTTAATTATCATTAGAAAAAAACTGGGTTTATTTTTTCATCGGACAAAGGGAAAAAACCATGAGACCCAGTTACTTCGCCGGGAATTATGTTAGGGCTTTCAGTGCCACAAGAAAAGAGGACAGTTAAACTCTTTCAAAACGGCTCCCCTCGCATAAGTCGCAAATTAGCGAAATACACCCATTTGCAAACAAATTTGGTCTTGCGAGAGACTCGCCTGGAGCCCAGCTGAATCTCCTGTTTTTGGTGTTTCCAGGCAACTGAATGTGCTGCACCAGGCCGCCCCATGTTTCAGTTGCTGCGATATTCGAGATATCACAAGCATCAACAACTGGAAGACATTAATGTAGATTCTGACCTGTGGCAAGATTGCGATAATTTTTGGGATAGAACTACCATCCTGTGGTTCCCATTTCACATTCCTGGTTGATTTTGGCTTTTCTTTGTGTTAATATCTGATTTTTGCGGATTTACTCAGTGTGCGACGCCATACGAAAAAACGATCTCGATTTATTTTTAGTACCTGTTACATATTATACAATAGTTAACAAAGCAGAAGTATAATTTAAGAACCATAAAATATAGGGTTAAGTTGAAATAGAATAGAATACATTATTGTGTAAAATGTAGCATGCTCTATACAGCAACTGCAACAGATCAAATTTCACTGATCACGGGAACGCAAAGTAGAGACGCTGAGAAAATATAATCGGGAGAATTACGTCCATTCAACTATAGGGCAGAAAAGGTGGTCTATCACATAAAAGTGAGATTGTGGCGAACACCTTTCATCAAAGGGACTTGAAATCGAGAGGGAATTTAAGTAACTTTCGTGTACCAATTAATTTGCTGTGGGTACGGGCAGTGAGAATTGCTCATTAATCGCAGCGGAGTGAGTTGGCACATATTTCCTAGCAAGGGGCCGAGAAAGTTCAGTGGTTAGAGCGCAGATTTACTGACTGCAAGGTCCATGGTTCGAACTCGATCTCTGCCTCTCGACATCCCCTGTCTAGCCAACCTGGAAGTATCCCATCCATCGCGCTTCCTTCTGGTGGCATGGCAGTTAGGCACCGAAAGGATGCTACAGCTGAACGATTTTTTTTTATTTCACAGCAGTCTGCGGTAAACTGTCCAACATGTTAGAATTTACGCCCGAGAAAATTTTCTATCATGTCTTTAAACTCTCAGCCTTCAGTGAAAACCTCATACACCTTTCACAAGAATCCTCCTCAATTCTCGAACTACCTCATGGATACCCTGTTGAAAGTGTGTATTTGGTGAGCGCGAATCTCCCGTTTTTCTGTGTAGTAAACCCGATGCATTCATTTCCATCTGTATCGTGTAGTATCACATAGAAGATGTATCATCATTGTCCCCACTTAAGTTACGCATTATCTCTCACACTACGTATAAAAAGGGTACGGCTTTTTGGTGAGTTCCACAAAGGAGACACCTTGTTGTGTACTTGCAGACACCTTAACATCAGTGGCAACAAGCCTGTAAGCATCTGAACCGGAAAATGCACTTGAAACAAAATTATCTTTCTAGTGGGGCATTGCTCGTCGCAGATTCTGCGTATTATGTCTATCTGAGGAGCTTGTGATAGAATGAAACCGCCAGTAAACGGCTGGTGGATTTCGTTCCATCTCGTGCTGCGTAACTACAATGAAGACGTTTTCTCCATGTTTCCCTTGTGACCAAATCTGTCTCAGTGACATTTAAAGCCTTTGGCAGGCTACTTTTGGCTTAAAACTTGGAAACCGTGTTTTCAGGGATGGCGTTCAATCATGATGAACCTCTGTCCCTCTTAGTGGTTTAAAAATTTAGCTCCTCAAATCCAGGTGACTACTGTGTGTGACCTCTGAGATGTGGCATGGACGGTGTGGAGATTTGTTCAACCCCTCTCTTTGACAAATATAAGATACTTTTGGAGATATATGGTTGATGAAACAAATTGCGTGTCACTGTCCTTCCACTTAAGCTGGAAGAATGACTTCAGCCAAATAGCACACATTCTACTAATCCATCCTTTTATTCAAAACCATTTAGCGCAAAAAAGTAAGGTCTGGTTCCCTTCCCAAGAACAAACTTGTGATTCTTACCACATGGTAGATTTAGCACCAGTAGGATGACTTGTCCTACCATCTTCCCAATATTCATCCTACTCTTCATTTTGTTAGCAGATTCACACAGCTCATCAAAATATATCTATTGGGTGATCTCGCTCAAAGCACGTTTTGTTGCGTCTTTGTTGCAGTCTGCCAGGTGAAAACCAACATAAAATTTCAAACGCTCCTACTGTGGACTCGTAAAACCAGTTTTCCGCTTATGCCACACAACCTGATTTATCTGGTTACATCTGCGAAATCCGGCATTGCTGACCTTTTACTGATTAGCATTTGGGTGCGACAACCACACACTGTCATGCCAAATCGTTTGATCTGGCAATATGGCTGTAATTTATATATGCATGAAATATTCGGTTTTTGTACCCGCCTGTGTGTGTGCTAGCAACAGAAGCATTGAACAACGATAAAACAGCTTCACAGAACCACAGTGAATGTAAGTAAGGAAACACTGTCAAAAAGACACTGAGGAGAACACAACTGGTAGCAACTGCATGCTGTCGTCTGACATGTGGATGCATCGGCAAACGGAGCTGAATGCATTTGTGGCAGTTTCGAAATGCGGCTTGTCGTCTCATATCCTGACCAGGGATTACACTACTGCCCTTCTGACCACCAAAAATCGGTTGTATTAATACCAGCGATAATCTTTTTCAGATCATACATGCATAAGTCAAATACAGTTAGCGTAAATCCCACCAGTGATGAATAGAAGAAATGCATGTTCCAACCCATCGTCGAGTCGCGTTACTTCTTTGAGAATATCTTTTATTTCTCGGTCAATTACGATAACACCATTTGCTGCTCTGGTCGGAAACTTATCCAAAGAAACCACTGGTCGATAACGGTAATCCAACCTAAACGGTATCCTCTAATAACCCATGTGGATAAATGCATGGCATGTGATCGATTTTTGTCACGCCATTTCACTCTACAATCACCCGTTGTCGGATTTTCCCGGATATGGGATGTCGAAGAAATCAACCTTAAGTAGTACAACAAACAAATCAACTGCAAACACCGCGAACAAAGGGGTGTTTCCCACACGGTATGTCATCGTCATCACTACCTCCTCATTCAACAGTAGCATCCTTTTGGTACATGACTGCCATGTCACCCGAAGTAAGCATGAGAACTGAGATACTGCCAGGTTGTACAAGCATAGACAAGAGATGCTAAGGTTGGGTTGAAACCACCGACTTATCGGTCAGCAAGTTCGTGCCTTAACCACTGAGACAGCTCGAGCTCACATCATTGCGATGGAAATCTGGAGTTCTTTTTAAGACCATCAAAACCTATTTTGATGGAGTTTTTTGTAATCCCTCTACAAACACAGTTAGCTTACTGAACTCGAAGGAGCTCCGTGTACCGACCACCTGTTGTGAAAACGGATAGATATAACCAAAGCCCGACCACAATAGAGCAGCAACATAGCAACAGCAATACAGTAACATTTCACAAAGTGTCCACTTTGGGATGACTTTCATTCGATGTATTTTCCTCTCTTGTCGGGTTGCTCGTAAACTCCCAAAACCGACATCTTAGTGTTGTTAATCTAAGTAGGATGCATCACCCCATGGGGTGCAATTTATCGTAAGATGCAGACCAATGAAATTCTCTTAATTTCGTTCAGTTCATGGAATTCAAGGACGTCGTATGAAGCTGAACACTAAAACGAACCCAGCCAGAATCTGAAACTGCGTATCCGATGAACCAGTTGATTCTCCTTCAGATTAGCTTGTAACCCCCGATCTAGCTACAGATGTGTTATACTTTGAGGCTCTCCGGGATGCGTAGTGTTTTCCCAATGAGCCATCCAAAGCTAATCTCCCCGGGGGGAAGTGAACAGTTCAGAAATAAAATGTGATCCCCATCGACACTAATCCCTACGTCCTGGTTCTATCGCCTACCACCTCACCATATTCGTAGAGCCTAGCTTGTCGGAGACAGTAGTCTACAGGGTTTCAAGTAAACTGATTGACAACGACCTGGAGCAAACTGGGATTGAAAATGTTTTGAAAAATTTGTAGCCTGCGTGCATCCGCACGTCACCGATCAGGTGGGTGTTGATTTTTTCGCCTGGCTTGCAAAAGTGTTGCCATCAATCGGGGAGACAAAATCAGCATGTGCACTGATGTTGAGGGAGAATGCAACGCTTCCGATACCGTCGGAAATCACCCAGACCTGTGATGTCGGTAAATAACTGTGATCGGCTCGATTGGAGGCACTGTCTCAGCCAACTGAAGGTTCAGTTATAAGCGTGGTCATTCCAGAGAACATTTCAGATTTCTATAGCGGAAATTCTGAACTGCTTATCCACCCATATGTAAAATTCCGGTTCGTGTTTATCACAATATCTCTTTTAAGTACCAGTTATGAATTTGAAAAGAAACACAATGATTACTGGGGCCTAATTGAGCACAGCAAGTATATACAATGTACTACTTCAGAACCGGGACACCATACTACGGGCAGTACATTGTAAATTTGTTACTGTCCATTGATCTGGGGTTCAAGATCGAAGGATGCGGAGAAGATTCGGGTACATGTGTGTAGATTTTGTAATTTTACGTCCACCACCTGAATAGTTGAATGGCACAAACTCAACTGGTCAGCCTGATTGCATGCTACTTCAGCAACCAGTTCCACATGTAACCAATTTTGATCCATTGATGATGATATATACTGTGTTCTGTTTGAAAACCTGGGCATCTGGAGAATTTTCAGTGGTACGCAGCACAAACGTGCAGACCAGCACAGCACCCCTAACTTCCTGTGTTGCTTTCCAAACGGTGTATGTTGGTAAACGTTCGGTAACAGACTAATTAACCCGTGTCCACTCGAACTTGACAAAGTATATGTTCATTTGGTACGTACGGTATGCGTGACTGCGCAGCAGTGATATGTGGGAAGAGGCTGTGTGCATGACACTGCGCGCGCTTATTTGCACACCTGCAAAACTATTCTCCTACCCTGCACGCAACTTGTGGTGGCTTGTGAGCACAAGTCCACAAACCCCGGCGAAGACAGTGGCAAGTTCCAGTTTTCAAATGTCGATTGTTCAATCAATCACTGAGAGTTGGCAGTAACACTGGCGCCATTTGGACTGAAATATAATGTCGAACAAGTGCGCGGTTGCGAGTCTCTACGCCACCCTCCCGTCCGGTAGTCTCGTCTTCCCTATACACTCAACAACCACACAACAACCATACGATATTTAACGGAGATCGTCATTCTAACTAGTATGGGTCTCGTCTATGTCACACATGACCAACCAAACACCTTCACTGTCCTCCTCGTCATATGATGTTGTGGCTCTACTGTTGTTGTTGTTGTTCGGTCTGGTTGCTAGGTCGTCACCAAAACCACCCAAGGGTGGGCATACATACTTTCGGACATGTGCATAGGCGCACAATCAAGCAAGCACAAAACACATGGGCGCGCATACACCGAGTCATTCGAATGATCCCCTCGTTTCGATTCCTCGATTCACTTGGTCTCACAATGTTTGTGTCATGCGCAGCGATGCTTGAGATACGCAAACTCACACTTGAATGCCCAACGGTTCCGGTGATTAGGCTCGAATTCGGGGAACAGAAGGGCACTACTGCTGTTGTGGACTGGGTCACAATTCAGAACTAAATTAAGTCTACTTGAAAGAACATCCAGCGAAAGTGTACACAATATGCAATGAGATTTGGCGAATTACAGGTCCGAACTGGCGCATTAAGGAAAGGGTATAGCTTCGAATGTTTCTGTATAAGATCTTACTTTACCTGGTCACGGTTTGTTCATCACATTCTACCGACCGAGAGCACTTGAACCATATCATTGGCCAGGTAAGGTAGATTTTCTCTAAAACAGCAATCATCCGTATACTTAAGCTTCCAAGGCTGTATGGAAGCAGTATATATATATATATATATATATATATATATATATATAGAGAGAGAGAGAGAGAGAGAGAGAATAGCCTCCGTGAAGTGCGTAGAGTTGTAAGCTTCTGTGCACAGAAGCTGAGTAACTTTCCCGAGTAAACTCAGCAAGACATCAAAAAAGTCAGTCAACACGACAGCACAAATTTGGCATATAGGTGGTACTGTAACAGTAGTTACCCATCCTAAGACTGAAACCTGTCGATGCCGGACGACACGATACCTTCCTCCAGACTTTTGTTCTCCAAACCGCCCACATTAGCTACTCCACTAAAAAATTGTCTTCCCGGATAAGGGATACATTTACCACAGTTTTTCTGAAAACTTCATATTAGTGCATTGTCATCCTACCACAGAACAGTATCATCAATCTCATCAGTTTTGGATGCACAAGGATTATATGCAGTGAATTCCGGAATATTCTTCCCATGACAGCCTATTGAACCAACTATTGGGAGGTAAGTTAGACCAGGTCTTGTTTCACTGGGAGGATCAATGAAGTATTTTGAAAAAATAAGCGATAATGCAGGCTAGAAGCCGAGAAGAGCTGAGTCAATGCACAAATTAGATGATAATTCCTCTGGATTGCCGTCATTCCAAACAAAGAATCGGGAGCATTCACAATGTAAAACTAACCTTACTGGTAAAGTCACCGTCAAGAAGGTGCTTTTTCCTTGTTTTATACACTCATAGATTTCAAGTGTTATGTTTCTTCTCTCGCTCTTTTTCAAAGTAGTTCGATGAGATCGTGCTCCGTCGATACATTCCTTGAAAGGTAGAGACTGTGCTTCAAGGATAAAATGGGCATTGCATTTGCGGCGGGAACAAGTAATTTTAAGTATCTTTTATAGAAATCTGACTTACCGCTGAAACAATATTGATGAGAAAATTTTCTGAAAAGAAGTTGGCGGTAGCCGATCAGTAAATTATATGTGATTTTGTACCGACTTGTCGGATTCACTTTGTGCTGGTTTGATGAGGGAATTAAGCGGACTAGATCAGTAATATGGGTAATCGAAGCCCCCTAAGAACTTGTCGGAATCTCACCGTCAGAGAAGCTGACCATCATATTTCTCTCTAGGAGCTTGTTAAGTCATGGGTGATTCGACTATATGTTTGTCGGAATCACCACATTAAAAGGTATCATTTCTGTAGTAATAGAACGATATGATCAAACCGAATAGTCCCCATGGGAGATATAGCTTACCTCGACAAGTTGCCGGTCCAAGCAACAATGGGGTCATTTCTTCCGTCGAAATCCACCGGGTTTCGTAAGAAATACAGTTCCACAATTCTTGCTCAGAGGACACTGAGGTGAGGTGGCTGATATTAGTTTTTATTGTGGGTTATCTGAACTAACGATAGATTCTCCATATTCTCCACTTACAGACCTTCACTTTATTTACTGAACCACTTCCATTCGATGAAATTTGTCTTCAGTGCCATCCCGAATCCAGGTAAGCTGAGCGGACAGGCAAGCGTTTACATTCTGCCATCGATCTGCCCTACCTCTTCGAATGCAAACAGCATACTTGCGTCTGTGTTTACTGTAGAACGAAAATATAAGCAAACAGAATGTCTAAACACGTTTAGAACACTCTTCAACGCACATGACCAATCGATTGAAGTCGTGATATCAGCGTGACTTCTCCATATTTACACAAGGACACATTGCGACATTTCGAGTGTTTGCACAAATAACTTATCACTCCGATGCAGCAAACGCTTATACCCCGGAACCTTGCTGCATTGGGAAAGTGTGGACAACTGACAGTCATAATGCCAATATAAAGTAGATTTTTGATTAACAGTAGAATGGACGACTGTCGACTTTGTGGGGCTAGATGCATAAACAATAAAGACGATGCCAAGTACAGACCATGGTAGACCGCATTTGCTTTACTTGTCCAAGACCGTCCTATAGAGGCAGGACTATAGGACATACACGGTGAATGTCAAATGAAACATTTTGCTGACCACTGTAAACGAATTATTTTCTGGGTTTGGCTTCGCCAAGTCATAACTCTCACGAATTATCTATAAGTAGATTCATTTCGTCGGAGAATCTGTAATGACGATCCCTGAGACACATCGTGGGATTCCTCCTAAAGCTTAGTCATTTCGGTGGAAGAAGCCTATTCTTTGTATCCCTTGATGGTCTCGATCGCGGAAATCACTTTTAGAGGCGCTACTTGATCAGGAACTTGTAAATTGCTGCGCATTCAGGATAACTATACTCCTATTACCTTCAAATGTCTCATCATGGAAAGGAGTTGGTGTTATGTCCGCATTCTTGTCCGGCTAGTCCGTGACCTCCTTGAAAACTGCTTGTTACGCATCCTCCACGGATGTGAAAGCTGGTCTCTTCAGACTGATGGTATTCGTGAAGTTTCATCATTTGTCCGTCGCTGTTTGTAAAGTTTCCACCGTGTCAGGCAGAGCTACCTTGTTACAAATTTTTCACAATATCAGTAAACGAAAGGTGGGATTAATTTACATCGACTCTGGTGACTAGCTCGCGTGTTCAGAATGGTGCCTCAACGAGTTCCACAGCCTGCATCCTTCTCAGTTCTCAATCGAAAATGAAAAAGAGTGTGGTGGTTAGCGAACAGTTTGGCTATGGAGTATGAGGGCGTTTGGAGTTAAATCACATTCGGCCATGGCGTCTAGGATTCTGAGCAGGGTTCTAATGTCGAGGATTGTTAATTCCACACTTGCGCAAAGTTTTGGAAACAATATTTTTTTTACTGCGCACTGTTAGACCTATATGTTGGATCATTCTTCATATATATATATATTACCACTGACCAGTGACCTCATTTGGCTCGAGATAGATCAGTGGTTAAGGTGCTAACATACTGGCCCGAAGGACCTGCTTCGAACGAAACCCCGGCATCTTGACTACTCCGGTCTAGGCTAGGGCAAACTGTCAGTATCTCAACCCTCTTGCTCCCTTTGAGTGGCATGGCAGGGATGCACTGAGATGGTACTACAGGCGGATGATTATTTTTACCTATACAGTGACCTCATTCGTCATGACTTAAGGTGGTAGACTGATGTGTGACACTACTGTTACTTAGGTAGCTATTAGTGTATTTCAAGGATTTCATACCTCTGCACGCATAAAAAAGCAAAATATTGTGTCAAACAATGAACAGACGGACTGATAGATCTAATAATAGGCTAATGGGTGGGTCTGTGAAATGTGTTCTGCAACCCAAGGACTATATACCTACAAAGACAAGTCAGACTGGTGCGCTCTTCCTTCAACATTTCCACTGTTATAAACAATACAAATGTTCGTATCATGACTTCGCAACACACATCGATTAGATACATAGAACTTAGAAGCGTGTTCATCTGTCGGGTGTGTCACATATGCCTTACAAGGCTGCTGTTGACCACACCCATTGGTGCACAGTAACTCTGACGTAACTATGTGAGCTAATGGAAATCATCCAACAATGCACAAAACCTATTTTTTGTTCAGAACGCTTATCACCGACTGACCTTGAAGTAGTCGATAAGTTGCACATTCATTAGACTGACGTTGGGGCGACGGTTTTCATTAAACCGTTCATTTATTTCTCATTCGAATCTGAGCCAGAAGCTTGTTTTAGGGTTTCGTCAAACCTTGAATCACGGAAAGCTTGCATTGTAGCTGAATACTGAAACAAACTATACCAGAAGAACTTTAGAAAATGCATTTAATCATGCCCATAAGAGAAGTGACACTTCAAGATCGTCCTACATATGTGCATACCGAACTTCAGATTGTTCAGATTTTCAATGAGTTTAACACACAAACTACTAGATCCCCAAAATCTGAAGAGTTTTGATGCAAAAGATTTTATTGGCGTAAGTCTTCGACGGGCTTTTCGTATCAGTAAATTAGACAAGTCGAAGGTAAGTCGACAGGAAGCACAAAAAGATAAGTGTCTGTCCAAAGCGTTTTCGTTTCTGTCAGTCATGATGAACTGTCCATCAGCCACCGATGGAGAGCGAAGTGCTTGAAAATGATGGCAAATGGATATGTGCAGTTAACGAAAAACTGATGACACTCGTTTATTTGCTCAAGGAGCGCATCTGTATCTATTCTTCGACTTCAAAAACTTAATGATAGGCAGCACGCATACAGAGACGACTGTCAGACGAAACACATGTGGAAGTCAACTGTCGATGAAGCACTAAACGGTTACACATGAAATGGTATAAAGCAACCGAATGGCATGGAGACACCTGTAATGCCCACGTCAATCTCGGGGGCTTAGATTAATGGACAAAATTGAATGTGGTAATTGATGCCTCCTATCCGGTCTGTGAAAGATGAATAAAATTATTCGAGGTTGGCAATTTCAACCCCTTGAAGAAGGACGGACCATGACCTCATTTTCATGATGTTCTGCTTCAACTAAATGTGCTGTAGCAGACCGCCTCACGATGCCCAACTGGCGAGATCCAAGAAGGCCGAAACCGGTTGTGGGTGTCGAAGAGGGATGCCTCCTATCCGGTCTGTGAAAGATGAATAAAATTATTCGAGGTTGGCAATTTCAACCCCTTGAAGAAGGACGGACCATGACCTCATTTTCATGATGTTCTGCTTCAACTAAATGTGCTGTAGCAGACCGCCTCACGATGCCCAACTGGCGAGATCCAAGAAGGCCGAAACCGGTTGTGGGTTGTCGAAGAGGTTTGAGTAACATTATGAGTAGTGTGTCACGTCTATACGACACATTGCGCTATCTCGATTATCATACTAACTGAGACATAAGAGACAGCCTGGTAAGCACATCCAGTTAAAGAAGAGTATCACGAGAAGAGTGTCACGCCAGCCCCAGCTGGGGTGAGCCACCCGTGAAAATCAAATTGGTATGCAAGTGAATGTATTTGTCGAAAGACGTGTCCTGTTCAGTGGGGAACACAATAAATCCACAGAAGTCGGGCTGCTGTGAGCATGAGATGGTCCGTCCAGGTATTAGAAAGAATCACATACAGTTACCCTGTGCAGAATTTTTACAACCATAATATTGCATAGTTTGTATTGAAAATGTCTAAATGAGGTAGAACAAACTCTGCCTACAAGCGACGCTGATGAAACAAGTGAACCAGCTGGTTCAGTTAGAGCGAGACCACTTAAAAAGCCGTTCTTGTTACCCAAACTATCCTCTTTGTTAACCTGTCTGACTCAGATATTAACTGGAATAGTTACATCATTCGGGTATGAGCCAAAATGCAAAGCCTTGACGGTGTTGCTTGAAGCTTGCTTATACGTGGAAAGTAAGTCCCCGACGTACGCTTCGGTCTGTATTGGGCTTCTTTAGCTAAACCTGTCATCCCGAATCAACCTCACTTATTAATGGCGCGGTCATAGTTGATTGGGTTACTGACAGTCAGGTACTAATTTCCCGATCGGCTACTTAACCGATTTTCGGTGAGGACATGGAGCCGAATGAGCTAAGGGTGTCACTAACCGAAGTAATGTGCGGAAATTCTTGAAGGAACGGGTGAATCTGAATTCTCTCTAGCGGTACTCTAGCTTCGGAGGAGTTTTGCGCGAAATGGTGGCTGGTACGGAACGTTAGGAACGTTAGTACAGCTTTTTCATCGAAACGACCAGCATCCGAGAGACTACTGTACTGGCCATTTGACGCAGGTCAAGGTTTGACTGTGCGTATTGGGTGACGACCTCAGGGAATGCCTGCTGTTATCTTGCACGTCAGACAACAGGTAGGTGCGCATAAACTTAAGTTCATGGTATACTTCGACGGATCTTTGCGACAGTGACTACCGTGTGCTTTCTCGTCATAACACCGAAATGCACTTTATTAATAAGAGGCTGAAAAAACGCTACTGAATGCAAAGTGGAGCCGCGGGCACCATCTCCTGAATAACAATACGACTAAACTCAGTCGTGGGAAAACTCCGCTCAACCTGCTGCTGAAATCAAGTGAGGGGCCTGGTGTTACTCAAACCGTCTGCACGAGGAAATCAACTGCACTTACACGTAGTTAGGCTCTCCCGTTCCCCAACTAATGGTCAACCGAGTGTTACCGTCGAAATTTGGGATCACTAACAACCTCCAAAGGCCCCCTTCGAAAAAACTGTGATCTTAGAAACTCCTGAGGTTGTATGAAGATTCCCTTCATCTTGCAAATGAGTGAGTAGAATTAACCACGTGCGGTCATTTCCTCCACCTTACCGCCTCTCTAATCATTTAACAATTACTGCCCATGTTTCCCTAAACATCAAAATATAAGTTAAAAGTTCTCAAGCTATACCGAGCTATATGCAGCTTTCAAAATAGTACAACTGATTTATCAGATGTTACAACTATGTGAAGACATGTAAAACGTCGTTTTATTTATGACAGTGATCGATTATGACCATCAATATTCGTACGCACTCAGGCATAAGTTAGTGTGCGTTACCACTACCCGGAGGTAACCAAGTGCTGGTCTCCATTGTAGGCTTTTGTATTGTGAATCTGATGTAGTTGTCTTCTTGGCATTTGGGAACACTGCTCAAAAGTTTATTCGTTTTTTCCGTTGTCATGCTCTGATGTGATCTTTGCACACTTATGTCATCGACAGATTTGATCCTAGGGAACACTGCTCAAAAGTTTATTCGTTTTTTCCGTTGTCATGCTCTGATGTGATCTTTGCACACTTATGTCATCGACAGATTTGATCCTACCGCGGTGTGACGGTTTGTGCACCTTCATAATCCAGCAAGTTGCACTGGGGAGTGTATGTGTGACGCTCACAGAGCCTGTCACACCAACCTGGTCAAGGGGTAGGCGTTTGACTGACAATCTGATGGTCCTCCGTGCTAGGGGTTGGAACATGGTTGGTGAGTTGTTCCTTGAAAATGTAGACTAGACTGGCAGTCATTGTCCACCACCGCTGCTTTGTGGTTAGGCTTTTGAGCAAATGGTATTGTTAGAGGACGCTAATTGTGCTCTTGTATAAAGCTGGACTCCTTGGAAATATCACTGCCAACATACAGTCATGAGCTGCACAGCCATTTCATCTCTACGCCATCTCAAAAATCGAGGTTTAGATGATTGCAGTCAACAAAACAACATTTTCATTACTGAAACTCCAGTTAGTAAAGTATGCTTTATCGCAACTGTTCGAAACTGCCCTCAGGATTGTTCCTCTTATATAATGTAATGATTAGGGGCGAGATAGCTCAATGGTTAGAGCGCGAATTTACTAACCGGAAGGTCCGTGGTTCGAACCCGACCCCCACCTCTTGACTTTCTCTATCTAGGCTTGAGCAACTCTTGTGCTTCATTCTGGTGGTATGGCAGCTGGGCACCGAAGAGGTGTTACAGCTGAAAAGTAGTAATGTGGTGATTCCAGAATTCATTATTTGGTTTCAGGCAATCATGGCGACGTCCTCAACACCTGTATGACTATTTAAAAGAGAGATGCAGTGTGGTTAGTGAGATTCAGTTCTATAACTTCCACGATTATTGATTCAGCACACGGCACGGAATCATGCGAAAGATGTAATGAGTCAGGGTCGAAAAGAATTGACAGTCAGTATGATTCACTCGATTAAGGAGGCTTTTGCATCAGAAAGCACCATCAAATCCCCAGCGGGATATCACTGTCGTTCGCGAGGTCTCCTGTGGCGCATATCATGCGAATCAGGTGCAATTTGCCATCCAAGTACAGAAGACTATTCATAGCTACGTTACCAGGCAATAAAGGAGGTCGATTTGAATTTGTACCGAGAATGTTCAGTCTGATCTTTGACAACACCTATGCTCGCTGAACAAAAATGTCAATGAATATACACTCATCGAAAAATGCACACAGACTTTTCGTTAATGTAAAAAAATTGGGCTGCACGTTTCTGCGAGGATTAGAGTGCATGTACTTTATTTCATTTGACTAATTTATTGAAGGCCTTGTGCAGCTGCGTGACTCCAGGCAACTTGTACTCTTAAATTGGTGGCGCTGATGCATACCGAATCATGTCCGTCAGGCTCCAAACGATTGCTCCCATCTAGGTCAGTGGCCCCTCTTTCGCCGTATCGCCAAACTAGACTTCTTCACGTGAGGTCATTTGTAAGCAGGGTATTTCATCGATAGACTCACAAGGAAATCCCATCTATCTGCTTGACCGAGTTTCAAAACCCTATTGATCGATCTTTGAGTAGTATTACGAGCCAAACTCGGACATACAATTGGCTAGTTCCGTTGCTGAAGAGAATAGATTGGGCTTTAGTGCCTCCTTCTTGCCTTTCCATGTTTTCTCTTGGAATCACATGTTAGCCAAGACATGCAAAGACGTCCATTCACATCTGTGAAGTACACGGCCAGTACAGGCAATGATCATCGTCTGGTTTCTGTGGCAGATTAAAAACTTTCATGGAAGACTGATTATTATAGCAAGTGGTTGAATTCGCTTTAAACTGCCACAATCTGATACCTAGCAGCAACATCTCCTCAACTTACGGTTATGTGACCTGACAACCTGGGTTGTAGTGATCGACTGAAGCATATGATGGGCGCAGACTAGTTTGTTTCAAGACCCCTCCAGTTCCCACTGAAGTGGCCCAATGGAACAAGAGATCAAACCGAATTAGCCTAGGACCGTATCGTCTACTTTTCTGTGCATACTTTTGCAAATGGCATAAATTCTAGGTAACAGGAAATCTTTGGAATATTCGAATTGTTCAACCATCCGTTTACGATAAAATAACTGCATATAGCTTCAGGATGAGAAGAATTTGGAGATGACATTATGTGTCCAGATTAAAAATCACAATATGACACACAGGAATAATCGTTTGGACGGGAAAAATCACGACGGCAATAAACTCACAGGGAAAGCCTATCCATCTACTTGACCGAGTTTCAAAACCATATTAATCAATCTTTGAAAAGTAATACGAGCTGCACTCTTATATGCGATTACCTTGACTAGTTCAGTTACTGAAGCGAACTGATTGGGCTTGAGTGCCTACCTCCTGCTTTTCCATGTTTTGGAGATAATAGTATGTGTTTGAATTTAAAAAATCCCGCTGTGTAGCCCATAGGAATAACAGTTAGGACAGTAAAAAGCACGACGGGGGGACCGCTGAAAATGGGTTGCTTCAATGGCTCTGTCTATAGTTGGTGATATGAATCGGCGATTATCCATGAGAAGAATTAGATTTTTAGGGTGAAGTTTTAAATGCAAGAAAATTGAGGAATTGAGTAACATCCTCGATGCCGTTACAATTAACATGGAATTTAACTTTTCAAGGTTCTTAACGCTGATTGGACAAATCCGGCCCTGAAAGAAACTTAGGAGGAAATGGCGATTTTATATGTGCATACCGTCGAGCGGTTTCACTGTATTGCTCAAGCACAATTTCCTGCTTCCACTTTACTTCGTTGCGATTGTTTCCCGCTGAAAGATGTCATCATGGGTTACGGTGACCCAGGAATAGTTTCACAGGTGGAGAACCAGCCCGGCTTAGTTGGAGAACGCCGTACTGCCATCTTAGCTGACTTGGAAGACAGAACCAGCATGCACGAGAAGATAGTGGTGCTAGCGTTTGATTGGTTTATTAAATGACGACAGTTGTTAAAAATCTACTACTCAATAAGATTGGTTATCCGGTTATCTAATCCAGTTTTAGAACTCCATATTGGCTGAACCGATCTTCATATGGGTAACGGACACATGCTAAGCACCCCATGAAGAAAGAAACAATTCGTGAGCTGTCAAAGAATTTTTAACAATCACATGAGTAGTATTCCTTCTTGTAACTGTGCTGCGATATCTGGAATACCTTCTCATTTGGAACGTGATGTGTCTTTTTGCGGAAAATTCAGTTGAAGAATTTTGGGAACGAGGGATTCAGCCTCATTCAGTCGTGTTTCCTGTTCAGACCAAATCAAGTTGCAAATGAGCACAGTTCGCCATCGGTTTATCGAAAAGTTACAAGCCCGGACATCGAGGAGGTTCAGCGGTATACGGACTCGAAGTATCATGATTAAAAAAGGGCAGAAGTCGAGTCAGCCCAGAAACTCGATGAAATTTAACGACCCGGTCCTACGGTCGGCAACTAGTCCCATCCTTAATGCGGCTGGAAACAAGAAATACTACTTGCTGATGGTGATGCGCTGGCCAAAAAGAGTAAGGCAACGAATTACTACGAGCACTTGATAGAGGGTCTTGAATTCTGGGGATGCCTCAATGCCGCTGTCTCTGTACGATACGATCACTTTGGAGCCACCCAAGCAGCAGGCATGAAATTCGATGGCAAATCAGTTATATACCGGACTTGGATGGACAGACCCTCAGCACCTACCTGATAAGCCTTATTATGAGTGGAATTCGCTGTATGGTTGGGTATTCCTGGAATAAGCCAGGTTTTCCATAATTTTCTTTTTTGTTTGAACATATGGTTGGATTGGGTTTCATGTTGATATGCTCTGTATTGCAGAATATGAAATCTAGATAGCTCAGAACGATAGTTCATTTGCCGTGTACTGCCACTGGTTGTGTTATGGCTTGAACAGTCGCAAAAGTTGCTTAAAGTTGGGGCGGATTATTCAGCTTCACTCTGTGTGGCATCAATCGGTCTCTACAGCTGCTATCACTCTTCGGATTTGGTCATAATTGACAGCTGCAGGAATGGGAGCATTGAGGCAAGTGGACCGAGTAGATTTTAGATGCTCGTCGAGAGCAATTGACTCAAGCTTAGTAGTAAAGTGTCACTTGCTGCACTACGGGAGGTGACTGAGGTGTGCCCTATCAGGAAGAAGTGAATGACATTCGACGATTGAACCACAGGTGGTCTAAGGGGACAGGTCACGATAAAAACGCACACGCTGCAGGCATGGGGGCGTACAGCACAATTCGTGGGGACAGGATGATGTCAAGCAGGGTGCGTGTATCGCAAAACACGATTCCAGCTGCTTCAAACATGCCCACGCGCCCAACCCCGACTATTTGTTTACTAAGACTGTTTGTTTTGATTGTTCTTTCAATAGGTGCTTTTGGGAGCACTTCCGTCATGTGGTGTGAAAGTGACCTCCGATCAGTCAGCTGGAAAATCTGTTCTTTTTGCAACAACTTGTCTCCGTCTTATTTTCGTGTTTAACCAAGAAACCAAACTAGTTCATACTGTCCATCACATTGATTTGGTGTTCATTAATGTCCCTAAATGCGAGGAGCTTCAGAAATCACCGATCCAAGCACAATATGGTATACAAGACAACAAAGATTCTAAATTGAGTAGGGACGAAATGCATCAGTGAAACACAGAACAGTCGGATTCCAAACGCTTCCCACAAGTAAGTCTGGAAAGAGGAGACGACCAGCTAATGAGACGATTTCTGCATGTGATGTCGTTTTTTCCTATTTTGTGATGGCTGCTAGAAAACACCTCTAAACAAATAAGAGATCATTTTCAGATACCCTAAAAGAAGCAGGTTGCCACTGCGAAAAGTTAAAATCTGACGCATTCCACGGTAATCCGAATCTCTTCGAAGAGATCACACCAGGTCGTAACTATTGAGAAACACTTCCGAGAACTTTTCAAAAAGGAACCATTTCTCAATAGGGTACTCTGTCTATGATCGCTGCATCGTTTGTGACACTTGATTTTAAGCACAAGTGAAGTATCCTCCGTAACCCGCTCTTTGTTCATTGATGACGTCTTGAGCTGTCAGATAGATGAACATCTACTGAGGAGTTAGACACTCTACTTCAATTCTGCTATACTTCTGTTTACTCTGAGAATCTGGATTGGCTGGAAAATAAAAGATAGGACCGTTGGAGTAGTTTGAGAGTTATACTCCACGTAAAGTGATCTTCAAAAGTTGACGGAGGTAGGCTAGCTGGCTTTTACCCTGCCCAATAACAAAGTTTCATGGACTCACTCTGAATTTCTGATGACATTGTGGGGACGCCACAGTGGACGTCTGACACCTGGTTCATCAGAACACTGGATTGTTGGTGCCCATCATTATACAAGCCCACGACTATGCACAATATTATGACAGTCAAGGTGCGATATCTCAAATGATTACAAATATCAGCACTTCTCAACGAGTGCTCCTCAGATGTAATGGTCCGAGTAGAATCAGTTGGATGGCCTCCAGCGGATGTCATTTTGACCGATCATATGTGAAACTACCAATGCACATGTGTTAAGCTCTGAAACATTGGCACAATACAGCTTGGCTTGTTCTAGGTTCCCAGTGACTAATGGTGGCCTCAAATATCATCGCTGTCATTCAGGTAGGATTGATACAATCCTACTCATCGGGTCCATTAAAACTACGAACGTTCCGCTAGCTGAGACACATCAGGTAAACCTAGTTCCCTAATCTCCATCCTCCTGAATTCCTGCTTGAGCATTTGCCTGTGTTTAACGCAACAGAGGATTTCGCGCTACTTTGCCACTTAAAAGTCCAATAAAACTTTTCAAAGCTTGCGTGCTTCCAGTTAGGTCAGTCCCGGTGGTTTGTTCTTCTTTTTTCTACTTTCTTCACTGTAGTGTAAAATGGTTAAGAAGCACTACTAAAAAATCGTTGGGTCCCACCAGCTTGTAGCGTTAGCAGGTCTTAGTAGCCTGAGCAAATTTTAATGCAGGACTCATCACCGATGGTCCGTAAACGTGTTGGGTAGTTACTTAACCTAATCGTACTGTCCAAGGTCATACGGTGTTTGAACATCTTCGTTTACAAAAACTTGGTTTGGACACGTGTCTGCGTAAATCAATCTACATACAAGTTTTATATATCGTCACTCCACCCTAATAAACCATGCAAGTTGATACTTGTTGTGGGATAACTGGGTCACCAGTCCCTAATAAAGTATTTCCAAAGGTAGATTTGATCATATTGAAAAGTGGAAAGCCTTTTTTCCCGTGTTTCGCATGTTACTGGAAAAAGTGCGTTGTAAGATTCGTATCGACCGATTTGTAGTTGGACAATGGAAAATAATTCGGAGTAAAGTCGGAGTAACTAACAACTGTGAACAAAAACCACCACGAGCGATGATTTCACGTGGTGATTAGAATTATGTTGACTTGTTCACCCAAACGGTCCATGTAGACAGGTGGGCAAAACAGACAAGTGACAGAGGGCTAGTGTATTCGTCTAGGTCCAAAAACCATATCGGTTAGTCACCCCTATTTTATGAGTCCATTAGAGGCATAGGGGGAGCATGCAGCATCAACAGAATAATGAATTATAAGTAGGATTTCGGAAATTAGGGAAAGTAGGGTTTCGGAAATGATTAACGGGGACTCCTCAAGGTTTCCATATCATTGTTGTCGTATTCACTACCACTGGATATGACGTCAAAAATTTCTCTTTGTAATGAATAGCGTCAATAATTCGATGTGATTACTCTAGGTATTGGTGTCTTGGCACCCAAAAGAGCTATGGGGAATAAGGAATATTTCGCAACCCGCGAAACCCTCATAAATTTACCTTTTCATTTGTGTGTACGGTCTTGGTACTGCTATCAGTCGGTTCATGCACCTATTGGGTAGAAGTGAACGAAGTTTCAAGTGTCGGTCTGATAAATCTGTGGTGCTCTAGCCAAGAAGAAAACATCAGAAGTCTACATAGTTTGTTTGAACTATGTCTGTAACAGGCCGTGCAAGGCTGGGCTTCTATGAAATCTGTACCAAAAATGAAAAATAAGCCTATAGACAGTAGCGTTCAACAACAAGCAAGTCTTTGGGTATAGATGGGATGGTACATTCTACTGAATGCAACAAATATTCTTCGAAGAATGTTCTGTTACACTACCCTTTGGTCAACCCACAAACGATGCCTATTTTCAGTTGCAATTAACCTCATCTGAGTGAGGTGCGCGTGTGTACAGCGTCAGCCACTAGTGTGATTTGCTTAGGTTTCTCATTATTGACAGAATGTGTTGTAAACAGTAAAAAGCTGAAGTGATTATGTCTACACGTCAGCCCAACAAACTCGAAAAAACGCAATAATCACTATCGATTTCGGAAAAGAGGATAAAACTGTCTCTTCCCAAACAAAACAATGCCCTTGAAAATCCCTTATCTGAATGACCGATAGGAATATTGTGTGTCGAGTATTAACCGGCTTTTCAAGATTTTATTCACCAGTCCAATTAGAAGTTTGACAGTACCTTTGACAATACACGATAGCCGATTATAAGCCTCCTAACAAGTTATTCCGGAGTATCAGGTTCGTTGGATTCTCTTCATTTTCAGCTAACACCAAGGTGTGTGATATTACGATTAATTTTTCTCTTTGAGTCGATCAGGTCTGTACGATGTTCTTCTTCGGAGATGCAAGTCATCGTGAGCGTATGAACAAGGTCGTTTACTAGGAATAATTCACGAGCCCATTATTACAGCGAGGCCCGGGATGAGTTTTTTGACAGCTGTGGTCGTATTCAGCCATGTATTCAGATCATCGATGCGATGATGGTTGTTTGCTCCAAACCCAGACCTGAGTTTACGCTTTATAGGTGACGGGTGAGTGAAGCATTTCTCGCCACCGAAAGCAAAGTACCCGGGTGATGTACGCGGTTAACTGGTGGCCTGAGAGCAAAGCGTGCTCATTCGAAGACATTACAAGCACTGTGTGGTTATCGCAATTTTCACCCACTGGATTGGCGTCAATGTCGTACTCAGCTCATACATCCAGAAAATTGGTGCAGTGACATGTAAATGGAGCATTTACATAAAACTTTGACATTAGGCAGCGCATTTTCTGCCACTTAAGGCCAAGTAACACGATATCGCTCGTCCCATTCACCGACATAAGTGTTGTCCTCATAACAAGACGCCCGGAATAACCGAGTTCAGGAACCGAATGGAGAGGCTGATTTTAGCCCACTCAAAAATACGATGATAGCATGTTCTCATAGAGGAAACTACTCACAAGGTTGCTGAAAACTCTTCGACAGCCCACGACCGGTTTTGCCCTTCTTGGGGATCATCAGGTAGACGCAGTCACTGAGTCTCCTTTCGAAGAATGTTCTGTTACACTACCCTTTGGTCAACCCACAAACGATGCCTATTTTCAGTTGCAATTAACCTCATCTGAGTGAGGTGCGCGTGTGTACAGCGTCAGCCACTAGTGTGATTTGCTTAGGTTTCTCATTATTGACAGAATGTGTTGTAAACAGTAAAAAGCTGAAGTGATTATGTCTACACGTCAGCCCAACAAACTCGAAAAAACGCAATAATCACTATCGATTTCGGAAAAGAGGATAAAACTGTCTCTTCCCAAACAAAACAATGCCCTTGAAAATCCCTTATCTGAATGACCGATAGGAATATTGTGTGTCGAGTATTAACCGGCTTTTCAAGATTTTATTCACCAGTCCAATTAGAAGTTTGACAGTACCTTTGACAATACACGATAGCCGATTATAAGCCTCCTAACAAGTTATTCCGGAGTATCAGGTTCGTTGGATTCTCTTCATTTTCAGCTAACACCAAGGTGTGTGATATTACGATTAATTTTTCTCTTTGAGTCGATCAGGTCTGTACGATGTTCTTCTTCGGAGATGCAAGTCATCGTGAGCGTATGAACAAGGTCGTTTACTAGGAATAATTCACGAGCCCATTATTACAGCGAGGCCCGGGATGAGTTTTTTGACAGCTGTGGTCGTATTCAGCCATGTATTCAGATCATCGATGCGATGATGGTTGTTTGCTCCAAACCCAGACCTGAGTTTACGCTTTATAGGTGACGGGTGAGTGAAGCATTTCTCGCCACCGAAAGCAAAGTACCCGGGTGATGTACGCGGTTAACTGGTGGCCTGAGAGCAAAGCGTGCTCATTCGAAGACATTACAAGCACTGTGTGGTTATCGCAATTTTCACCCACTGGATTGGCGTCAATGTCGTACTCAGCTCATACATCCAGAAAATTGGTGCAGTGACATGTAAATGGAGCATTTACATAAAACTTTGACATTAGGCAGCGCATTTTCTGCCACTTAAGGCCAAGTAACACGATATCGCTCGTCCCATTCACCAACATAAGTGTTGTCCTCATAACAAGACGCCCGGAATAACCGAGTTCAGGAACCGAATGGAGAGACTGATTTTAGCCCACTCAAAAATACGATAATAGCATGTTCTCATAGAGGAAACTACTCACAAGGTTGCTGAAAACTCTTCGACAGCCCACGACCGGTTTTGCCCTTCTTGGGGATCATCAGGTAGACGCAGTCACTGAGTCTCCTTCAACCTTATGTACTGCTTGAACCCAAATTGGACTCTTTTCGAGAAATACATTCATTTGCAGATCACTTTGTTCTTCACGAGAGACTCAACTGAATCTCTCGTTTATGATATTCTTAACTGAATGTTGCCGCACACAGGCCGCCTCGTGTTTCAGTTGAATCTCCCGTGAAAACCAAATTGATTTGCAAATGGGTGTATCTCTAGAAAATGCGAACCATGTTTTTAGTCCTTGTAAGTCGTAAACATGAGGCGGCCTATGTGCCTTCACTTCAGTTGTAGAATATCATAAACGGCAGATTCAGTTGAATCTCTCGTGAGAACCAAATTGATTTGCAAATGAGTGTATTATAATAGCATTTTGCAAATGAGTGTATTTCTCGATAATAGCATGTATTCACTTAACGACTACACTATGATAAAAACGAGCATTCCATTTTTACTAGTCAAAGCGGGCACATGTCCTCCGTCCTATAATATTACCGGAATCCACAGATGTTGACGACGAGTGACTGGTTTGTTCCGTTAATTACTTTGCCAGACAGTAGCCATGACCAATAATCAAAAGCGGCAGAGCGCTTATGCTTTATTCAGCTAGTTCCTTGTGGTCGCACTTGTAAGGTTGTAGGTGAGCTCCCATCAAATCCCACCGAAAATACCTATATTCGCACGCTTATGCGCTCGATCAGGTAATATCTACACCCTCCTTTCAACAATCTTCTAAACTCAGAATTTGGTAACATTACAATTGTGCACAATTGTCGGCTAGTCTCCCGAATTCACACCAGCATGCACACATACACACACACACACATCCAGGCCTCCAGTGAAGTGACAGACCATTTGTGAAACCATTTGTTTTTCAACATCATCACAACTTTGTGATTAGATTTCTTTTTTCATCCAGCTGCGTGATCTCGAGTGAACGGGCAAAAAACAGCACTCCAACTTAACATGGAACGACGGAGAATGTCATCATCGGTGACGAGAACTTGGTCCTCTTCACACGTACCGTTTCAGTCACACACGGGACTCGTTAGATGCGCCCACCATTTGGTTCCACCTGTCCGCAAAACGACGAGGGTGAAACCATTGGTGTACGTCAGTATGCATACCGGTGGCTACTGGTCATAGGTAGATGTGTACAAAGACAATATAATGGGCTGTGATTTTCAACAGTTGGGTGATTTGGCACGTACGCGGCAAACATGTTGACCCAACTTTGAAGATTGCAGTGCGATAGCGTCAGGAGTAACTAGACCAGAATTCCGCTAGCTCGAAACAGCCTTTCGGAAGAAAAGCAATCAAAAACGGCTCCGAAAAGTGACGGTACTAACGGAGCAGTTTTCGCGCAGTCAGTACAGCGATTATTCGAGGTATACCATGTCGTCATTCCTTGGTGCAAATCTAGTGATGGGTAATTACTAGTCCTTCTGGTGTCTATACATAGATTTACTAAAACCATAAATTTCTAAGCAATTTCGTTACATATCACAAATATTTTGGAGCTCTTCTGTCGTTCTGAATGGGAATTTCGATAAGATCAATTCCGGATACACGTTTCTGAAGAACAGGAGCTCACACCATTAGACCGAGAAACCTCTTCGGACATTGCATACTCTGAAGTATCCCATTAACTAAATTAAAGACCAATGAAGTACACCGAAACTTCTAAGTTTTGGGGAGCAGTTCTTATTCAGGGATATTTTTCAATTTTCCATGGGCTTATTGTTGAGACTCTCATAGGAGTGGGGGCTACCTTGAATCGGACAAGAAACAGAGGTCAGGAGACTCTTCTCATGGACGCGCTTCATCGCCAGTGATAAACCTTTTCGGCCCGACATGCGCACGTTATTCATTCCAAATCACTAACCAGCAGATGAACTAGTTCACGCGTAAATTGTACTCTTACATTGTTGTTCTGATATCAAATGAACCACCCAGTGTTTATTAATTGCGCATTAAACAGACAACTTTGTATCATGCCGATGTTCCTGGGCTTGTTCTGTTGATGAAAAACTGAATCTAAATATGGCATCTGTGTATGCGTGGTCATCTACAAGTTAGGTACAACGTTCTGCCTACATGCTTAAAAAACCACTTCACATGCCCTTGAGCTAAATCGGATTTAGTGGGCCTAGGACAGTTTTATTGCTATTTGATGTTTGGACGTATATTTGCGAATTTCCTGAAGAAGAGACACTCCACACCCAGGGAAATGTTGGTCCATCCGATGGGTATCCCTACCAAGAAGCTTCAGTGCACACCCTTTCAGATAAATAAAATTTCCCTTTTCGTTTGGTTCGGTGCCGCACATAAGTAGTGTGAAATCAATGCACAAACAGCTAGTTCACAAGGTTCCCCTTGAACAAGCCAAATTATTTGCAGCATAAGAAGGCCTTTTTTGGGAATGGAGTGAAACTCCCCACAGCTACTATTCCACTAAAACGTCTGCTTCTGAATGGTTTTGTCAAATTTTTGTATCCATCCCTACAGTATGGTGTCGCGCAGTTCCAAAAAAGACAGTCACGGTAATTTCGCCTTGACTCTAAAGGAATATCCTTTCCCTTCCTAAAGTCAGGAGGAAAAATGGGGTAGCTTTTAGTCAGACACAGAGTGTTTTTCATCCTGGAGTGAACGTTTTTGATCGACGGCTGCTGTGGAGGGCTTTTGCCAAACCTTTCAGCCTTTACCTTTATACGTATAACACGGCGCAAGTAGACCCTCGGGGAAAATAGGCAAAGCACGGGACCAGTCATGGTAATTGCGGAAGTACACACATAAATATTGACAGTTGGCTTACACGGTGTGGGTTTTCTTAATTCTAGGAGAGTCGACATTCTGGGGGGCTGAATTCATTTCGCCACACTCATAACTTCATCTGAGGCGGGTTTTCTTCTAGTGGAGGATTTAAGACAGCCTGCTTTAGGAGTAGATTGAAGCTGTGTTAAGTTTTCTCTTTTTAGTGTTCCACGATTTTTGTTCAAGCCCGCTTGGTCATTGGCGTTCCATCAAAACTCTGTAATCAAGTTCCCGTCCAAATCGTGAGCATATACACAGATCTTGATAAAGAAAGCTGTAGCAGAATTGTCAGTCGACTGAGGCCAGTACCGCTAAGATAGAGCCCTATCTGGTCCCCTTATAACTAGTGAATTAAGCTTCCAGAGACCAAAAAATGTAGTCTTTCTTGAAGATGGTCCGCGCAGAGAGGGACAACTGTATATCTCTGTAATGTACTACTCATAAGGTTGCTGAAAATCCGTAGACAGTCCACGAATGGTTTCACCCTTTTTGGGGCTCATCAGGTAGGCGCAGTCCCCGGGTTTCCGTCAACCTTATATTCTACTTGAAACCAAATTGCACGAAATTAGCAAATATATGCTTATTTGCAAACTAATTTGGTTTTTCGAAAGACTCACCTGGAACCCAGCTGAATCTCTCGTTTGTGATGTTCTCAGGCGGCCTGGTGCAGCACATTCAGTTGCCTGAGAACATCACAAACGAGAGATTCAGCTGGGTTCCAGGTGAGCCCCTCGAAAAACCAAATTAGTTTGCAAATGAGTGTATATTCGCTAATTTCGTGCAATTTGGTTTCAAGTAGAATATACGGTTGACGGAAACCCGGGGACTGCGCCTACCTGATGAGCCCCAAAAAGGGCGAAACCATTCGTGGGCTGTCGACGGATTATCAGCAACCATATGAGTAGTACATTACAAAGATATACGTGTATCGCGATATCTCGAATATCGTAGCAACTGAAACATAAGGCGGCCTGGTGCAGCACATTCAGTTGCCTGAGAACATCACAAACGAGAGATTCAGCTGGGTTCCAGGTGAGCCCCTCGAAAAACCAAATTAGTTTGCAAATGAGTGTATATTCGCTAATTTCGTGCAATTTGGTTTCAAGTAGAATATACGGTTGACGGAAACCCGGGGACTGCGCCTACCTGATGAGCCCCAAAAAGGGCGAAACCATTCGTGGGCTGTCGACGGATTATCAGCAACCATATGAGTAGTACATTACAAAGATATACGTGTATCGCGATATCTCGAATATCGTAGCAACTGAAACATAAGGCGGCCTGGTGCAGCACATTCAGTTGCCTGAGAACATCAGAAACGAGAGATTCAGCTGGGTTCCAGATGAGTCTCTCGAAAAACCAAATTAGTTTGTAAATGAGGGACAACTGTAGTTTGGTAAATGATAAACAATGCGCCCATGAACTCCATCTTTCGAGACATGAATATCATGTTGATTGGTTGTACTGTGGATAATCGTAAACAACCGCCATCAATTGACGACAAGGTCAAAGGCTCGTTCGCTACCGAAAATCTACATCATCTCAGCAAATATAGTGCCTTGATTGAAGTAGAATGAAGTAGGAATAAAAATGAATACTGTCCAGTCATCCCGACAACATGCACTAGTCTGCCTCGGAGGGAATGATTTCAGTGAACCGAGAAAGCTTCCACATAGTGTAACCCTAAAAAGCAGAAACCCCTCGAGGCGCGATAAAAATCGCCCCCCCCAAAAAGAGCGTTTACCTCTTTTAACCTGAAATTCACTTCAGTATATTCAAAGGCAGTGTCACGTTTTGACAGCAATTAGGCCGAAGCTTATCACGTCCCATCTAAAGTTGTTTGAACATTGCCATGAGGGGGGGGGGAGTGCTACAACCTGGAAGCATGGTTTACTGATCCGTGCATATCAACCTGAATATCAGAATTGACTGGGTAAGTCATCACATGGGTGACACAAGACTGTTTAGATTGACAAGCGAAAACTACAAGGGTCACCCAACTTTCTGTAAAGTATATGCTCGGAAGAGCGTTTATCTGTCGAGACATCACTTGGCTTGGTGTATGAGCCGAGTGTGAACATTACTTCAATTATCGACGAGTGTCCACTGGGGCTTATGTGATGTACGCTCAATACTTGCGACCTTGTGAATGCTCCATTTAGTATTCCTCGCCATTTAGTATATTCCTCGCCATCTGCCGGTAATTCAGGCGTCCGTGCAAGGGATGCTGGCTGAGCTGTGAACGGCTGCATTGCTCCGGTAGTCAGTTAATAATGTTGAACATACTGTTCTCCGTTACTGCTCTGACCCCACATAAACCGAAGGAATTTGATCGCATTCGAAAGTGGGTTGTATTATGGACTAAAAAATAGTCTCATTTGGTGGTACCTGTGGTAGTCGTAGTCATGAGGACCAGTACAAGAAGATACGTTAGAGGGAGGCAGTATTGCATTGCCTGCATATTATGATATGAAGGGAAAATGAATAAACGAATAAATCTCTTGATTGCGGCATTCTTCGCCTAAACTTGGATTGCAAAAATTGCCCTTGGATTCATTCGAACTAATAATGAATATTTCAGGATGTTTTCCCCTCAAGATCACAACAGCACACACCTGATCAGTAATGGCTGATCTGACAGTCGATGTACGGAGCTGACTTCCCTGGAACTGTTCGAGAAGCGAACAGTTATCACTTATCGCTAAATATATCTCATTGCTTGTTTCGAAAATTTGAACCCAATAGCACTTTGGAAGTTTCTCCCAAACGGTCAACCTCAATGAAGCAACCGGAACCAAAGGGTATTATCTGTTACGGAGAACTAATATAATACAGAATGGTTTAAGAAAGTTGAAGGCAAAAAATCTCAAAGCACTTATACCAGTATCACATACAGCCGTTGTGTTCACTGAATTCTAATTTTTTAAAGGCGAAACTGATAGTTATTTCCGCATGCAACTACCAACTGCAATGCTGAAAACGGTAATGCGTATGGAGCAAAAACGCAAAAACTAACAGAGATACACAAGCTCTTTCCATCGTGATCCCAAATGAACCAGACTGATCAGGTTGGGTACTAATAAAGTAAACTGTGAGTCTAATCGTCCAACCATCTCTTGTCAAGAGATAAAGGAATTTTAAAAAATCGTAATCAGTTCCCTTAAAGTAGCTGATTTCACTCAGCAGTGTAATGCAAAAGGAAGGATAACGGTGCAGCACCCTTACTTATATTAAATTCTATCCAAAGCACAATTGCCCAACATTTTAAGTATTTACAAACTTCCTCTTGATATCACACCATATTCATTTTTAAAACCAAGTTGTCCATCAGTAAAACGATCAAATGATGAAGTTCGGCATCACAAAGTAAACCGACCAGTACTCCCAGAATAGCTCATATACATATTATGCAATCTAGGCAATTTGAAAACATAACGCCACATTGAGTCAAATCTTTCCAAACCAGGGTATGCGGAATAAATCCGATAAGAGGGAGGATGTATGCATACTGTTTACAGTAGCGCGAGGGGTTTCGTACAAATTTAACGACCGTTGGTCTGTCAGAATCCTCTCCAAACTATCCGCATCTGCGTCATTTCTGTGGCTGTTCGGACCCGGAAGTTCTCGATGAAGCAAGATGTTGTCGAGTTTGTAAAACCATCTGCCGAAACCTTTGGGCCGAGTTAAACCGACCGGTCACGTCTGATCCTTGGCTGATCCGAATGGGGAACAAACTGTTGTGCTTTTGTGTACCATTGAGACTGCTGTCATTAACCATAGGGTTTTTGTTTTTTACCAGTGGCGGAAAGATGACGCCAGATTTTGCTGGCGAGATCCGGGATTGTGATGGTGATCTGATCTCGGGAAGAAATTGAATACAATTATGGCACGGTTTATTGTAATACAAGTCAGTTACTGATATTTCGGTTAGTAGGCAGAATACAACGTGGAAAAAGGTGTGTAAGGCTGGGGAGGTCAAAGATGTTTGAGCGCTCACGAAGACAATTCTCAATCCCAAATTTATCTGATAATGGATCATGCATCATCCCCACCACATGAAAAGCTGTTTGGAAAACAATGCAACAGATATTGACAGTAGGAATTTTACCCCTGGAGTATCTTCTTCCAAACTACATGGTGTTGATTCAAGTGGCATTCACTTCACCGTGATAAAAAAAAGTCACGGACGTAGCGCGTCATTAGAAATGCAAGCTATCAATGACTATAAAATAACAATACGAACATATGAAAGGGTGCATGTGGCATTCTCACCATCAGAAGCCACATTTATTGCAGCTGTTGCTTCTGCTGATTCCGATGCAGGGTGATGGTTCTCGCCTCTGGTCGAATTCCCAGTTGTAACTCAACTCAAAACCCATCGGTCATCCAATGAAACATACCGTAACTGCGATTCCTCTGAAAACGCTTACTACACAAACATTCATTTCAAAGATTCAACCTCACCAAATGGCTATCAACATAAAAGCCTTCGTGATTCAATATGGAAGCCTGCTTCCTCACTGATTTTGTCGCCAAATCGTAGGGGAATTTTCGGGAAGAGCTGGCTTCTGATAAAAAATACCTGCTTTTCCGAGGGAGCTTTTTAAGGGAAATGCAAAATACTGCTTCCTATATAGTGGGTTCTCCAAGAAGCCAACTGCTAAGTTTGAGTAGTGCACAGTTATTATGACGTCGGATTATTTGGAAGACCCAAAATTTCAAGCCTCACCGAGTTATCCGGAATCGCAGACAAGGTATATTTGTATTTGTATTTGGCGGCCATTATGCTTGATAAGGTAAAGTGCCACAAGACCCACTTCGTAGAACAACTCATGGAAAAATTTCGTTGATCTTACTCATATTAGCCCTGTTTCAATTAAAAACACAATCGTGGATACGAATTCGTAAATTTCGATTTATTTACTTTTCTCTTAGCCTTGTGATCCAGTTTTTGAAAAAAACGTTTTGTCAGGATATCACAGACGGATGTTGTTACGACCTAAGACAAACTCACGACACATCTATCACCACGAGCCACAAAAACAATAAACCGTTTCATTCTTAGGCAAGATACAAACTGGTGGATATGGGGCTCAGTGGGCGTGCCACCGAGCCGTGTGCTTCTTATGATTTCGTGAAAATCCCACTCAGAAATTGAAGGACGATTGACGGGTAATCGTGATGGTCGAATACAGGCACTGTTGTCGTGTACGTTGGACTAAAGGATGGATAGATAGACTGGTTTGTGCCATCCTGTTGGCGAATCAAATGTGGAAAATACTCAGCACCAACTGATTTAATCTCTCATCATCTGACACTTTGAGTTCCGCACGTTTGTTACTTGGTGAACACGATGAATAAAGTGTCCTTTTCATCTCCCTGTTCTATGGGTGCCTTGCTCACTGTTTTTACTCGTTGTTCTTAATCACTGAAAATGTTAGAGGGTTATATCTGAAGAATTCATAGTAGCATTCAATAGCATTAGAAGAACAGTTAGGGGAAATTATCAAACTTCATACCACGTTCAACTTGGTCTACTATGGTTAGCGATATCATGATCCACTCGATGCCGTAAAGTGCCGGCCCATGGATTTGTATGCTGAGACGTCCTCAGTCCTCTCCTAAAACATCTTCTTTATCACCCCAGTGAACAGTGGTTGGCATTGTTTCAGAGGAGCTTGGTAAACATCGGTAGTTTAGGGGAAATTATCAAACTTCATACCACGTTCAACTTGGTCTACTATGGTTAGCGATATCATGATCCACTCGATGCCGTAAAGTGCCGGCCCATGGATTTGTATGCTGAGACGTCCTCAGTCCTCTCCTAAAACATCTTCTTTATCACCCCAGTGAACAGTGGTTGGCATTGTTTCAGAGGAGCTTGGTAAACAATCGGTAGTTTTTTTATTTGGGAAACGTTTCGCTTTTGACAAAAAAGCCTAATCAAGCCAAGTGAGCAGGTCACCAAATAGGCCAGGTTATGAGATAGACGGAGAACCAGTCAATAAGTCCTCTTCAGATTATCGGACTAGAGCAGTGTTGAGTGTTAATTAACGTCTCTTGTCTGTAAGTGTGGTTGTCAAAACTTTGGTGGAGATAAAATAGTGATCCCTTTGTGTAAAATGTACCTACCTCCTGGTTCTTGGCGATAGCCCTGGAGATCCATTCTGACACAGAGTCCGAGAACTTGCACTTAGTGTTTCCTTTGTCCTGTGTCGATACGATGCAGAAATGTCCGAGTCAGCGCTGATACTGGATGGTGTTGAAGGGGTTTTTAACTTAACATCAACAACTGATCTTGGAGACACAGAGGCTGATGAGTTCGCCGAGGAATTGGAAATCGATGAAGCGCTTGACACTTCTACCGCTTGCCCGGCTGTACGTGAAGTGCGTCGTTTGCTCTTCCTTTCCTTCCGAATTTCTCGATGTTCTGCTTTGCAATCTCCGTGTTGAATTACAAGGACTGGAGCTTCTTTACTTTTACCAAGCGCACAATCCCCTTCAGGTTCAGCCGGATGAGCGAAATTTACCAACAAAGATTCCTTCAAAGGACAAAAGAGAATCATCTCGATTTAAATGATTTGCGAATGATACAAATGGGTGGCGAAATCGGTAGTGTAAAAAGAGTAAGCCAGTCTCTCAAAATATGCACTGAGTAAATTATCAAACTCAAACCTGACTAGCATTAACTGGGTCGGTCTTTACTAGGATTTTCGTCCAACTTATTTCCGCATGCCGCCTAAGTAGTCTGACTGAATGTCTGGAGGTGCAAGCAGAACACTTGTGATAAGGGAGCGTTAGGTCCATCAACTTCTTTATGATAGGAGTTGCTAAAATAAAATTTCTGTTTGCACGGCAGTGAGAAACAAGCGTAAATTAGAGATCGACCGTTTAATCAATATTTGGAAAAGCTCCTCCAAAATACTTTGGATCGCACTGAAAATGGATTTCAAGATCTACTGGTTTTTCACTTTTTATCACAGACTGACCGATGAACCAGCCACTTAGCAAGACTAAGTAAATAGGAGGCAGATAAACTCATGAGATGACGAGATTGCTATTGAGTTGTGCCCCACGAGAACCTGTCCTCTGATCTGCCCCACTCTTCGATTAATCCCCTTAGCTGACTGCGGTTACTACTAATCACTGGATCATACTACAGCAAGAAGCCGGCCAATAGGACATTTTAGCTCTTAGTCACTAGTCAGGATTCGGAACTGTGAAGCAATCCACAGACACCCGTTTACTGCACGCAATTCATTGATGAGTCGATGCTTCCGGAGAAAATTGAGGNCTTAGTCACTAGTCAGGATTCGGAACTGTGAAGCAATCCACAGACACCCGTTTACTGCACGCAATTCATTGATGAGTCGATGCTTCCGGAGGAAAATTGAGGTGTATCCCCAAGTCCTGCTGACCAATTGTTCACTTTCCTGGCTTGGTGGAAAGCAATCTGTTTCAGTGTATCGGTGCCCAACTTCATCATTAGGCTGTCTCAGATTGCTACCTACTATTCGGCGGTTTGCTGTCACTTCTTGCCTCCGAAGTTGTTCCCTTTCACTTTCCGGGCACTCGTATTCTTCCGGCCTGCTTTTTCTGAGAGCTGTTGATCCCAGAATTACCATGAGGCTTCATCAGTTCACTTTACTACTCACAATGTGACTTCGGTTCTTGTGCATTCGACTGCCTACCTCCGAGTCTACCTATCCATTAGACTGATGCATGATTCTGAGGCGGTGTCAGCTGGTGATAAGTTACCTAATCTAGTATTCTGTTTGATATTTGAGGTTGCTCACTGACGCTATCGGTTAGGTAGTAGGTGATGGTGTCTAGTTGTTCCAGCAATCAGGACTAGGTATAGAAACTCCATTTTCATGTATATGTTGCCCTACCGCTAGTTGTTCATGATTTTCGTGATAAATCCCCATAGGATTTCGAACCCTATAGCCCCGATCGAAAAGCTTGAAGTGAAGGTTAAAAGGTGGTTTTATTTACTGCGATTTCTTCTGTAATTTTTGCACTCATGTGTTCAACATGGAGCTCTGGTGTCCCTGGCTGGTAAATTTTTTTTCCGTCACTAATGCATTGAGGCCGGCATCGCAGTTGTTTGCAACAAATCCTATGAGAACTAATCTCTTACTTGTAAATTTGGTTGCACACACTTGTGTAACAGTATGTAACCATTCGAGGTAGTCGTGATACCAGACAAAATTGATGTAGATTGTATACAGGAAACCCAATCAGTATCGATGCTCGAATTCTCAAATGGTCCAAGTCCAGTACACTCGTTAAACATAACGCCAGTTGGGCGGTAACCGGAGCACAGCTAAGCTCATCCAGGCAAAGGTGTCAATACATAGGTACAGAACGCACGACTTTTGGACGGAATAACAACAAAACAAAGCACCGAGAATGCCGATATTGTTTAAAAAGGAAGTCATGAGACGTGTACCTGTAATTTATTTAGATACTCCATCAATGCTTTGACTTCCTCTTGAAGCACCACCCTAGAAAAAAATACAGGAAAACATTAGAGGACTTCTAATACAAAAAGACTGTACAGATATTTATTTCGAGTGACAAGCAGATTGTGTCGGATCTCTAAGGAGAGAAGTGACTGGACTTGAAAGTAACGGTCATTATTTTTATCTCTTTTGGAGCAAAAACAGATGCTCGTTGAGTGAACGGTAATATTCGATGGGGAATTATTTTGAGTCGTGAGTTCGTGTCCTGCTGGAAAATGTTATTTTGTAGAATTCAATCCCAGCTCATCGCACATAAATTTTTCGACAGGGAATATGGAAAGTGAATTTCATCGTGAATAGGGCAATGATGAATTCACCACTGACGAGGTCACTCGTTTTCAAATTGCCTTGATAAACAGGAGAACTCACAGAATCTTTCGTTTACGATTGCCTTCAACTGAATGCGTTGTGCAGAGACTTGCGCATTTTCAATTGGCACAATATTTGAGGGGTTGAAGTTGATCGTCTTGATAAGGCTACTAAAAACTTAAGCAGCCTACCACTGGCTTCGTTCTTCTTGGAGCTCATCATGAAGATGTCTAATAAACTGACAACACACGCTATATGAAACTCCGCTGTTTTGAATAACCGACACTACAATAACGACAATGCCATTCAGGCAATATCGATCCCAACCTCAGTTTTTATCTCCTATCCAAACATTTGGATCTAAGACACCTGGTAAGGACTCTTGAGGTACTTGGTGACTTCAAGTATAATAAATGTCTGATACATGTGGCATCATAAAAGATATTCTGGTTCAAGGTTCTGCGTTATAGTAATCATCAGATGTTAAAGTCAAGGTTATGACATTTCATCCATCGATCCCTAGAGAAGCTACCAGTTGAAGAGACCAATCGTCAAAACCCATTTTCGGCCTACGGGGCGTATCTCAGTAGTATACTTCCCCAGGGGAGACCGATTTGCAGGATAGACCACTTTTGGTCGGTACTTTGAAGTGGGTAAGTGAAAAATTGTGCTGTTTCACACGGATGCATCTTAATATACAAATGAACGTCGTATTATAGGGTCCTCAGTTAGTTAAAAGGAACGATGTTACGTGCATGCCATTGTCCAGACAATTGATCGGTGTGAGCATGCGTAAAAGCTTAGTGTACGAATTTCACGTCCCGGTCATTGTTTTTTGTGCGATGAGGACATCGAGAGTGGTCTTTTTGGGGAAGTGGTCCTTAAAGAGGCCCAGACTTCAGTGATAATAATACAAGATGGGAGTGGGTTGATCTTAATTGCAAGATGTGGTCTCTCTTTGTGGATCGCCGTATTTTTACTATCGTGATCATTTAAGCAACTGACAGTCAGCTGTTTATCAAAATGCTTACTGGGTTTTCAAGTGCCCCATGAATGGAATGAATGTACAATGCAGTCGATCTGCGAGATTTATTGACTTTTCGTTGACGTAAGCATTATCGAGTACCCACAACCCGGCAGGAGATCAACGTGGCCGTATGGCTGCGAAACCAGTGGATGAAATGTTGGAGGTTCGAAACCAACCCGAGTTTACCGATTGTCCCTGTCCAGCTTTAACCATTTTGACACCACCTCAATTTGATATCTCCCTAGAGTTGCACAATAGCTGTGCACCAAAAGCGTATATCTGACTAACTGCTGGGATTTTCATTGTAAACATGGTTATAAATCTTTTCATGAAAAAAACTATTCGCAAGGTTTTTCACAAAGGAAACTACTCACAAGGTTGCTGAAAACTCGTTGACAGCCCACGACCGCTTTCGCCCTTTTTCGGGCTCATCAGGTAGGCGCAGTCCCTAAGTTTCCGTCAACCTCATGTTCTACTTGAACCCAAATTGGGCTGTGTGCAGCACATTCACTTGTAGAATACCATAAACGAGAGATTCAGTTGAGTCTCTTGTGAAAACCAAATTGATTTGCAAATGAGTGTATTTCTCAAAAACAGTCCAATTGGGTTCAAGTAGAACATAAAGTTGACGGAAACTTGGGGACTGTGCCTACCTGATGAGCCCCAAGAAGGGCGAAACCGGTCGTGGGCTGTCAACGAGTTTTCAGCAATCTTGTGAGTAGTTTCCTTTATGAAAATATACTGCGATACCTCGAATATCGTGCCAGCTGAAACATGAGGCGGCCTGTGCGCAGCACATTCAGTTGTAGAATATCATAAACGAGAGATTCAGTTGAGTCTCTTGTGAAAACCAAATTGATTTGCAAATGAGTGTATTTCTCAAAAACAGTCCAATTGGGTTCAAGTAGAACATAAAGTTGACGGAAACTTGGGGACTGTGCCTACCTGATGAGCCCCAAGAAGGGCGAAACCGGTCGTGGGCTGTCAACGAGTTTTCAGCAATCTTGTGAGTAGTTTCCTTTATGAAAATATACTGCGATACCTCGAATATCGTGCCAGCTGAAACATGAGGCGGCCTGTGCGCAGCACATTCAGTTGTAGAATATCATAAACGAGAGATTCAGTTGAGTCTCTCGTGAAAACCAAATTGATTTGCAAATGAGTGCATTCCTCGAAGATAGTTGTCAATCATTGTTTTCATTATTTTTGCATTTCAGTAGGCCTCCAAATTATACTCTGATCTTTCCGTCTAATCCTGTATGACGGAAAATGCCACTACGTCCCCTTCAGGACAACAATCTGTGTTTGGAGTTCCCATTTTCGAGACTCTGCTTTAGTTCTAAGACTCAAATAGACGTAAGGCGTGTTTAGAAACCCCGACTAAGTTGAAGACAGGCCTAAATAAGCTTATTTAGTGTCTAAATTTAACGCCACCCAAAACATGATTTTTTACGCTGAATTTTATTGCTAGGGAAGATTGCTCTTCGCAGGAAAAAGAGCGGATTTTACAGGAGGTTGGAAAGTGGTCTTTCGGAATGTATCAGTTTTAGGTTGTCCCCGAAGAAAGGAGTGAAATGTCGTTGGTTAGAGGATGGTCCTTCTTAAGGGAAGACTACTCTATATTTCCATATGCGTTACCGCAGTCCAGTTTGTTTTGCAGGAATGATTGTCTTCACCCAGCAAAACTGACACTTCCGTGGGTATGGACAACTAACGAACTAAGGTAGTTAAGACGGAGTTCTCCCAGCTTTTAGTTCTTCAGCCTAGCTTCCGTAGCATTTGCACACCGTAAAGCAGAGGGTATGGAAGAACAAATATACTTGCCGTGTTTCGGATAGGATACTGAAAGAGTCCTCTGTAACGCAAGGGGAATCATCTGGAATAACAGAAATGATTTTATCAGTGATTTAAAAACATACCAAGTTTGCACAAACACATGGTAAAATACCCACTGAATCTGGTACGCTGTCGCGTTAAACAATAAAGGCTGGGCACTGCATATGAATAAATACGACATGTGAATTCATCAAAAGGACACGGGACGATATCATACATCTTCAGGTAGGAAGTGCGCTTTCAACCATTACAAAGGCGTGCGGCAGCTGTAATGTTCCCATCTATTTGTTTTGCTAGTTGAATTTGATAGACTGTTTCCATCTTCCTCCAAAGACCATAAGTCTTACTTGTTCAACTGACCATAAACACAATTCCCTACAACCATGTTATTTACGATAATATGATTTGGCCATCATCCACCAACGAAAACTGGGATTCGTGAGACACTTTTGTTATATATATATATATATATCGGTATCGCAGTTACTTATGAGGTCGTTGACACCATTCACACAACTTGAGGGGAACGTTTGTCATGCTTTTAAGTACTCGGAATGATGACTGCGTGTGTTCTGTGAATGCTAGCATTCCGAATTTGGTGCTGGCAATGTAGCCTGGCATTGCTTAATAGGTCTGCAATCGGATTCTGGTAACGCTGTTCACTTGGATAAATTTGTTGGATAGTCGTATGCCTCCTAGTAGAAACGGGCAGGCTTTAATAATGGAATGTGAAGAGTTCCTTTGAATGAAACTACTCACAAGGTTGTTGAAAACTCCCGTGATAACCAAATTGATTTGCACATAAGTATATTTCTCGACAATCCCCCTGAAGCTTTCAGATCGCCCATTGCCCACCATTCTCATAACATGTGCACAAATCTGGCTTAAATAAAAGGTACTAATAGCATAATTACTCCGTATACAAGCAAATTCAATCGTTTTTGGGGCAATCCTAGTCAGTTGGATGTCACTTCCGTCCTCGTGAACCAAAAAGTTAAAATGAAGCGAAAACAAACCCAAAATTAAATGGATGAACGATCTATGCCATCGGTTTGGTCAGATAAACTGACCAACGACAGTTTAAAATTCCATTGCTTATCACTCTTTACCACAAATAAGTTCTTCGAATGGGCGTAAGCCGCCCATACATAATTAAAGAGGTATAAACTGCGAGGTTTACATGTTACTTGGGAGAAGGACGCAACAGAGATTAGGCGGGCCTCGGGTTGGACTGTTATGACTGGACTTTCCGGACGGAATCTTTTTGTTGCTTCCTGATTGTAGCTAAAGATGCTGCAGAACATGGTCACAAAGCCATGGTAACTGCATTTGTGGTGTCAGCTGTTACCCAAAGTGTCTAGCTGAATAGTTCATGCTGTCGGTACCACGAGGTGTTTGTAACTAACACAGCGGGTATCCAGTAATTCGCAGACCTGAATCGCATTGGAGCACCGTACCAACTTTGGTGTTGATAGAATTTAAACAGTAAATTCAGTAGCTAATCGGTGGTACTTCGGAGTTTGTTTCAGGTAAATGAAACAACATAAAAGCATCAGGAAGGCACTAAAAACACTTGCATTTACATAGAAAAGTTTAGCTACTTCATCAATTTGATCCAAGTAATAATACCACAGTGATACGACAGCAGCATATCTCCGCTGGAACAAAATCAACCACTTACCATCGTCATCAGTTCCTCTGTATTGTAATAGAAGAGCACTGAATCACATTAGCCTACTTTTCAGAATGAAAATGATGCTCTTTCTGATAGAAACAGATAAACTTATCCAAGTGGGATTCGATTCCTGCCACATGGGAAAACTTTGGAAATGAAACTTGGAACGCTTGATTAATCACCCGTCCATCTTTCATGAGCGCAATAAATGAAGCAATCTGTGAAAATAGCAACGTGGTTTAGATGAGATACCTCAGTCTTCAGTTCATACGTCTGTTCTATCAAGTCGTTTCCCACTAGTAGTCGAGCCTCATAATGGTCACTGGAACGCAGGCGACGTTCAACTAGCTCCCAGAACAACGTAGGTAGGTTAGACGGTTCCATTTTGTTGCAGATTCATGCAGGTCACAAAAGAGTGTGACCTTGCACATTAGTCTTCTTTTGCACAAATTTTCACCGGGAATGAACAAAACATCCTGTTCATGAGTTGTAGACAAAAGGCTGAAACGTGTTCAAAAAATTTTACGCGTAGTTAAATAGGCAATGGAAACCCAGTCAAAACTGACGTGGTAACGAAAAACAAACGACCAGTCCACGTGGGCTGGAATCACAGCAAAAACATCACCAGTTGACAGACACATTACATGGTGATCATCATCATTGGAGGTAACGCTACACGAAAACAATGGCTTTTTAATACCATGTCAATGCATTTAAAATAGCTTTATTATGTAAAGAAGAAAATGGAATAGGAAGGGCAAATTAGGGACGGCGCAAAAAAACATCCGAAATGCCTAAATCTCAAACACTCAAGCAGACAACCTGGACAGAGCTTGACAGCATGAAAGACACTGACTTCGATTAGCTACCATAATGTTAAGTGATTTCAGCCAGTAGAAGAGTGTTACGTCGATCCAATTCTGGAGAGCGAACAGAACAAATGGCGCACAAACATTTAGTAATATCCTTTAACCCCTTCTGCCGTGTCAAGTTCTGTCCACATCTGGGTTTTTGCCACAGCAAATTGGGCACGGAAAACGGCACCATTCTCGGTAGGTGACATCTCGGCATGCGCGACATATAACCCACTCACCTAGTTTTGTCGTACTGGATGTTTGAGTCAACTAAAGCCTGCTCAACAGAAAAGCCTACCCCCTGAACATCTCATGTCGAGTTTTTTTGGTTCCAACCAACTCCACATATACTTCTGAGGTATTTGCGGTCAGGGACCAAAAGGAGTCCCCGATCCTCTATCCGAAGTGACCAAATCTCGCAGTCAAAGAAAAAAACTCAGCCCACACTGTAGTATTACATATATTACAGTCCTTTGGGACCCACCACAATTTCGTTTCGGTGCCAAAAGTAATGCGAATTGGCAGAAGAAGTTCTGGATTTTGAAATTAGTGTGTTGAATTCGTCTGGTTCACTATCTTCAGTATTAATATAACTTCCGAGATTTGTATACCATTCCACAAATACCAGTGTCACTTCTTGAATTCATTGAGGTATGTTCAAAATTTGCCTGCAGTGGGACTCCGTAATTTGTGAGCGCGAAGGGCATGCGGAAAGGATGTATGATTTAGTGTTACGCCTTTTGTTCTTTTTCAAGAATGGGAAATTTGTTGTCTGCATATTCCAGGCTGACAAATTTCTCACTCAGAGAGATCCGAACAACGAGGTTTTGTAGACCTTCCAGGGTTCACATCAATACAAGCGTAGACAAAAAACGGAGGAAGTGGGTGCTTTTGTCGGAAAACACTGCTTGTAAAAAGCCTTTAGAGAGCTCTACATACGCTCTCACGAGCCCACAAACGCACCAAAATGGTCATACGAAAAGTTGTAGTACGTAACTCAAGTGAAACTCTCGATTACCCGCCAGCCAAAAACAGCGTCAAGATATATCCTGCCTCTTTTTACTTGTCCGTTTCCGAAAACATGTTCCTGTGTGTTAAAAGTAAAGTGTAGATAAAAGAGTGGCTCGTACGAATGTTGCCTCCGAGGCACCATCCTCAAGCTTAGATGTACTAGATCAAGCAGTTGGGACCCCACATCACCACATCACGCTCCATGATTCATTTGTGTCTCACTTTATCTAACTACTGAAATTTACTGTCAAAGACAACTGGTTGCATTGGCTCAACCGTTCATTCTTGAAACACAAGGAGACCATTTCACTTAATGTAGCGAAGTGACATTTCGTCAAAAATAAACTGTCGACAGTTCGGACGCGCAGCACCATGTGAGATGCTATGTGGACCGTTAAGAGGACACAGTATGCTAGTAGGCTTATTAGCGCGTCAAAAATGCGGTTTTAAGTAAAAAAATACACATAAATGGATGTTTTCAGTAAGGCTTTGCTGGAGAAACAGATTATGTTGACAAGAGAAACAGATGTGATTAGTGAAGCAGCAGTTTGCAGTTCAGGATGGAGAGCCGTTAGGAAACAAGTAAATAGTCTTTGGCCATGCGTTTTGAGGAGCTACCCACAATTAGCAAGGAACATGGCTCTAATGCGAGGGTTTAAACGTCAAAACTACAGTGGAATACCGCCAGCTTTAAAAATGACAGTTGACAACAAAACAAAATAATAGACTAGCGTTAAACCAGAACCCGTGAAACGGCTTATTACAACTTGTTGTGAACCACACAAATCAAATTTGCATCCGTACTACGTGCGCAAAGCAGTTCTGGTCAATTAGAAATCCACTGAGAACGCATGAGAACATTTGGGTATTCACTTCATCCCCTATTCTAAGCAGTCAGCCGCCTTCCAACGCAGAGAACCAAAATCGTAAACAGAATTAACTGTGCTTACCTAGTATCAGGTCTTTGTTTTGATCAAGAAAGGTTTACGTGAATTCCGTTAAGAGATATCTTCTGAGCGTGCGTAAAATACCAGCAAGTCTTTATTTGAGACAACTAAATGGTTTGGCCCACAGCCACATTAAAAGGGAAATGGGTGGGTTTCACTTAACCAAAAGATGACCCGCAGTTACCAAGACGCATGTTAACTGTGTTTACCTGTAGATTGTGTCAAAACATTCAGATGGAAGAACCCTTTGGTTTAGCTTACTGACAGCAATCGGTTACAGGTTAAACCGATTCTAATGAATTGTGATACAGTGGTACAGCAGTTGTCATGCTTGTTGTCGCAGGTGCGATTCAGGATTACAAACAAGGTTCCTTCAGCGCAGGGCGTCACAGCAGGAGATATCACCACTCACAACTTGCTGATGATTCCACTTCGACTGGTGATAAGATGCTTGCAACCGAATTGCCCAGCTTAGCGGACAAACCGACATACATCCACATCTTCTCTAGCTGGCGTCTCAGGAGCCTAGCTCGGGTAGGCGGGTATCAAGGAACCCTCCATTAGGGAACGATCGTTTAGCTGTGCGACATGGAATTAAACCAAAGAATGTAACCAATACAAGAAAACGCAGGCGGTAAAGCTCATGTGAAAAGCGGTGCTGTTTTCCGTGTCGAATTCAGAGTCGTGCCAGCAGACAGTTGTTCAACGTTAAATACGTAGGTGAGTATGAAGAAAATTCTGAAACGTCGAGGTATTTTCAGTGGAATCCACCTTACTAGGATGACGACCACGTGTTTATCCCGGCGTTTGGGTGAAGGATGTGCAAGGAATAGCCACTATCTGATGCCAACAACGCTCTTGTCATCTGTTTCTATTAAGATTATCTGAATGAGTGTCCAGATGCTTAGGTACATCGAAGTGCATCCGGTATCGCAGTTACTTATGAGGTCGTTGACACCATTCACCCAACTTGAGGGGAACGTTTGTCATGCTTTTAAGTACTCGAATGATGACTTCAGTTACTTATGAGGTCGTTGACACCATTCACACAACTTGAGGGGAACGTTTGTCATGCTTTTAAGTACTCGGAATGATGACTGCGTGTGTTCTGTGAATGCTAGCATTCCGAATTTGGTGCTGGCAATGTAGCCTGGCATTGCTTAATAGGTCTGCAATCGGATTCTGGTAACGCTGTTCACTTGGATAAATTTGTTGGATAGTCGTATGCCTCCTAGTAGAAACGGGCAGGCTTTAATAATGGAATGTGAAGAGTTCCTTTGAATGAAACTACTCACAAGGTTGTTGAAAACTCCCGTGATAACCAAATTGATTTGCACATAAGTATATTTCTCGACAATCCCCCTGAAGCTTTCAGATCGCCCATTGCCCACCATTCTCATAACATGTGCACAAATCTGGCTTAAATAAAAGGTACTAATAGCATAATTACTCCGTATACAAGCAAATTCAATCGTTTTTGGGGCAATCCTAGTCAGTTGGATGTCACTTCCGTCCTCGTGAACCAAAAAGTTAAAATGAAGCGAAAACAAACCCAAAATTAAATGGATGAACGATCTATGCCATCGGTTTGGTCAGATAAACTGACCAACGACAGTTTAAAATTCCATTGCTTATCACTCTTTACCACAAATAAGTTCTTCGAATGGGCGTAAGCCGCCCATACATAATTAAAGAGGTATAAACTGCGAGGTTTACATGTTACTTGGGAGAAGGACGCAACAGAGATTAGGCGGGCCTCGGGTTGGACTGTTATGACTGGACTTTCCGGACGGAATCTTTTTGTTGCTTCCTGATTGTAGCTAAAGATGCTGCAGAACATGGTCACAAAGCCATGGTAACTGCATTTGTGGTGTCAGCTGTTACCCAAAGTGTCTAGCTGAATAGTTCATGCTGTCGGTACCACGAGGTGTTTGTAACTAACACAGCGGGTATCCAGTAATTCGCAGACCTGAATCGCATTGGAGCACCGTACCAACTTTGGTGTTGATAGAATTTAAACAGTAAATTCAGTAGCTAATCGGTGGTACTTCGGAGTTTGTTTCAGGTAAATGAAACAACATAAAAGCATCAGGAAGGCACTAAAAACACTTGCATTTACATAGAAAAGTTTAGCTACTTCATCAATTTGATCCAAGTAATAATACCACAGTGATACGACAGCAGCATATCTCCGCTGGAACAAAATCAACCACTTACCATCGTCATCAGTTCCTCTGTATTGTAATAGAAGAGCACTGAATCACATTAGCCTACTTTTCAGAATGAAAATGATGCTCTTTCTGATAGAAACAGATAAACTTATCCAAGTGGGATTCGATTCCTGCCACATGGGAAAACTTTGGAAATGAAACTTGGAACGCTTGATTAATCACCCGTCCATCTTTCATGAGCGCAATAAATGAAGCAATCTGTGAAAATAGCAACGTGGTTTAGATGAGATACCTCAGTCTTCAGTTCATACGTCTGTTCTATCAAGTCGTTTCCCACTAGTAGTCGAGCCTCATAATGGTCACTGGAACGCAGGCGACGTTCAACTAGCTCCCAGAACAAC